TCTTCTTCTTCTTCTTCGTCTTCGTCTTGCTCTTCTTTAATTTCATCTACAACAGTTTTCTCCACTAACTCAGCCTCGTCGACATTCTTTGGGGATCCTTCCTTTAATTCATCCATTTTCAACTGATAACAAGCGAAAACTATCTAGAAATACAAGACATTAAAGTGTCAGGTTCTTTCTATGTTTATTAAACTATTAGTACATTTAAATGGAATTAAATGGCATAGTTGTTCAATTATTTCTGAAGAAATTGTAACAGCTACAGTTCTGTTACGTTCCAGCTTTCCATTTTTTTGAACAAACACGCTATCGGAACATTTCAATGATGCACCAAACTTTAGTTCCGCATACGTTTCTATATTATACTTCCGATACAATTCTTTACATTTTAATATTTTAATTTAACATTTATATATTCTCTGACATTTCTAGGTATATATACGATTATTAAATGCCCTATAATTATTGTTTATTCGCGTTTATATTTCGTTTCATGTCGAGCCGAGAATAGTGAGGCACGTTCACCACCATGTGTTTCCTGTAGCGACCAGGCATGAGAATGTGTGTAAACACCAACTTTGGGTGCATCAGTATTTACTATTCAATATTATATATAACCGCTTGAAAATGCTCCTGTTTTGTCCAACCTGTGGGAATGTGTTAATCGTGGAAGAGGGGCAGAGATGCTTCAGATTCGCGTGTAATACATGTCCATATGTGCACAACATCACGAGGAAGGTAATGAGTTTCCATTAGTAGCCATAGAAACGCGTTTGGAACGTTTTAGAGGTCATTACGATTCATATCTGATGAGGTGAACCTTCGATTAGACACGCGGAATAAAATGATTGTTCGATTCCAACACATGTAATAATATTATGATAAGATTCATGTTTATTAACGTTATGAAGATATAACACATTCGCATTAAACAATGTGAACGTTCCATTCAAATACATGTAATAATGGAAAAAGATGTGAACTTTTCTTTTAGAACATATGGGAGTTTATTTGGACGCAGAAGAAATAATGTGCATTTTTGATTCAGTGGCTGTATCAGAATATACTTCCCTAATATGTAGTAGGCGAAAAATAGTACACAACTGTAGGTTACATAACAATCACAACAGGTAGTATGTCTGGATTACATTCATAATACACAAATTCGTACTATATAAAACATACAATTTAATGGCCACGAAGTAAACACTTTATATGATTTCAGACGCACTACCAAGGGGTCTTTGGGATGACATAGGAGAGAAAAGACTCCTGAATTAGAACATTGCCCAAAAATGCTGTCACTAGTTTTTGAGACACTGCCAACATAAAACACACACACATATCTGATGTGTGTGGAAATAACTATTGGTTATTTTGACAGGTGAATAACAGAAATTACCCCAAGCTGAAGGAGGTTGATGATGTTCTCGGGGGCTCTGCTGCTTGGGAAAATGTGGATTCCACTCCAGGTAAAACGGTGTTATCCTAGTGCAATAAAAACAGTACTTGTATGCACAGTGAATATTTGACCACACATTCTGGTGGCTTTAAATGAATGTTTTTATGATGATGATTTGTTTTGAGGTGTAACACGTTCTCATTTTTCTTTAAAGAACCTTGTCCAAAATGTGAGCACCCAAGGGCCTACTTTATGCAGATTCAGACTAGATCTGCTGATGAACCAATGACAACCTTCTACAAGTGCTGCAATCTACAGTGTGGGCATCGTTGGAGAGACTAAATCAGAGACCTTAGTTTTGGGCTTTG